ATGTTTTCTATTTTGATCCTCTTTTTTTTATAAACGGTAATATCAATAATTCGCAATCGAGAAATGTCGTTTGGGCAGTTTGACACGTCGATGCTGCAACAAATAACTGTAAAATTGCGTGTACGATCATCGTGTTTCATTTCCGGTTAGTTTGACTTTCTGATTCAACACCGAGAGTTGGAGCAATCGTTATGAGTTTGGTCAATTTTGTTTATTACCAATGCTTCTTCATTTTTAATGCTTGTTTGTTTTTTCAATCACGGCAACTTTGCCTGTGCATTTTGTGGGACTGATTATCGCCTGTGATGGAATATGTGTAAGAGACTGGGGAATAAGACTGCTTGGCGAGAGTGTGAAAGACTGAGCTGAAACGCCAATGCGACCGATCGTTGACAATCGTTCTTATGCGTTAAATACACCAATGAATCCATGGGCAGAATCACTTGGCTTCAGTGAATTTACATGATATAATTTGTAGTAAAAAAGTAAAGCTGTAATTATCCAGATGAAAATGACTGACTTTTATTAAAAAAGACCTATTCATTGTAGGTTTGTTTTTATGTATTGCTTATGATCTCCCTTAAATTTCCGGCCCTAATTAATATTCATGATTAAATGAATAAATTAGGCCACCTCCATATAAAGACCACCTGTCTATAAAGGACAGTTTGGCTCAGTCCACTGACTGTCCTTTATAGACAGGTTTGACTGTACTGTAAATATTAAGGCAGCTGGTGTAACAAATTGAGGAGAGTGTCCGCTAGCTGATAAAGACGTCAGGTCCTAAAACTGAATACAGCAGGGTAGACCACGTCACTCTAGACGGAACTGTGAATATACCCGACTTGAATTCGGATTCTCACAAGTTGCCTTGTCGTCAGAAATTACTTGTTTATTTTACTTCACGCAGTTAATACACACAAACAATAAGCGCGCATGCTGAATATCTGTGCACAGAGAACGTTTGCTGTACTTGAATAATCAGTCAAATTAAAAAAAAAACTAAGCTCCGCCCATACCACAGGAGGTAAATGTAGGTCAATTCCAAAGGTAGCTTTGATGTTTCCTGTTCAGTTTTTGTGTCATGACGAATGCACATAGTGCTATATGATCTGTTTCTGAAACTTGAAGTATGTAGTTGGTAAACACCCAACAACTATCTCATCGAAAAAAGATCGATCGCGGGCCATATGCAGAAAACAATCGTTGAAAAAAAAAACTATATGCTAAAAAAAACACTTATCAACTGGGCATGGGATCTCACCAACGCGTCAAGTGATTATCCAATCACAGACGTGAATTCACGTAGCAGGCGATGAACCCCCAATGAACTCAACTTGGTCTTTTGATGTGTAGCTTTCTAACCGTATTTTTCACGAAACATCGTCTCGAATATATATTATCTTTACTATTTCTACACATCAGTAGTAGCATTTATGTCGCCAGTCAGTAATGTTACAATTTCCTCAAATAAACAACCTTTGATGGTTCACACGACGTTTCAAAACTATTTTCTATTTTCCACTGCGGCAACGCTCAACAATATAAATTAGCCTTTTGTTTTATGTGTTACTGTGAACTTACAGTCAACTGTTTTTGTGGCATTGCGAACTCTCAATCGTCAGTTTTTTTGCCATTGCGAACTCTCAATCGTCATTTTTTTGGCCATTGCGAACTCGCAATCGCCTTTTTTTTGCCATTGCGAATTCGCAGCGATGCTCGCAATGGCTGTTTTACCGTACATTTACATACCTGATATGTCATTGTAAAATAATGACCTGTGATTTCATTCTATACTCCAACAGTCATGAATCAATGGTAATCATACTTACTGGAAAAACATTTCTACCCAATAACTTATTGACAATATTAGTCTTAGACCGATGTCCGTATCTTGATTTCCCAAAAACACCAACTACACATATCTGTCCAGTTGCCTTTAATTCACTGTATAAAAAAAACATGTGCAGTTTGTTAACATCACATGATGGGCAATACTAAAATCATACATTGATAGAGTGATCTTGAAAAACAACTTACAGTAGTCATGGTATTTGTAGTTTAGTAAAACAAAATTTACATTTTATTAACGAAATAAGTAAATATGAAGAAAATCAAGGACCACAACATTTGCATATGTACCTCAAGTCACTTATACAGTTTCATACAATTATATTTTTCTTGAAGGCTGACCTCCCCAGAAGTCAACAAACTGACCCAACTTGATTTTGAGGTATACCATTTTTAAGATTCCTACAAAATCAGTTCTGTTAGAGAGCACACTGATCCTTGTTACAGCTCAACTACACTAGTATTGCTGCAATTGCATATCCGGTAGTACATGTACTGTCATTTATCATAATTTTTAGAAACAATAAAGCGTTACGATATAAAATAATTTGAAAAGAAAAACAAACAGTCAGAAAAACATAATTTGATCGATATCCATGATGTTGAGATTTAAGATACTATGTTCCAAATTTCATCAAAATCCGTTCACAAATTTTTGAAAAATAATAATGCCCTCCTTGATTTCCGTCATCTATTTATCACCCCTCTGTTTCCTAATCTGTTGGGGAGATAGAAACTGGAACGACCCAAGTGCCGCTCCCACAGGTGATACACACACATGCAAGTATTTTTAAATAGCACACTCATTTAATCATTAC